TATTTGTGATGTCACAAATTATGCTGGTACGCCCGCCGCTTAAAATCAAGCCTACAATTTTAACAAGTCAAGTTGTGTTTGATGGTAAATTCATGGTAACAGTGATCCAGTCATGTATCCAGTGTTCCCAATCATTTTGGCATTTTGTCACTCATTAGTTGGTTGACCAATTTCCTAAATTCCCAAAAGTTTGCTGTGTTCCTGTAGGATTCACTACAACTAACAGCAGGTATAATTCCCCCCAAAACATGAAACACAATAAGGTGATTAGTGGTCATGAAATCGAATCAGTCAACTGATGGTTGAATAACAGAGAGATGGCCAGCATGGAGAGACAGTGAGGGATGAGCTAAAACAATGCTGCACTCCACAGACGATAAATAAAGCAAAATATAGGAGCCTGACATGCCTGGCTGTCACAGCTCTGCACTGTTACACATCACATCACATGGAAACCGGTGAGACAAAGCTGTGTATTGATCATCAAGGTTATTGATGGTAAATTTTATTTGTATGACAACATACTTAATATACTAGTTTTTTAGGATCTGAAGTAATATGTAATATGTAAAAGCTGAGGGGTCAGCATATGCTTTTTTTGGCAGTCATCCCATCTGATTAATTTGTAAAATGATATTGAATAAAATGTAAAAGGTTAGAGAGATGCAAGTGCCATAAATTCTTATGTGGAATTTACAATAATTTGCTTAGTTAACTGTGCAGTGTAAAAAAAAAGCCTGGAAACCCGCATTGCACTATTCATGTATTCAGATCTAGTTTCTTTAGATGTCCGACACTATTGATGCTACCAGTCCAGTTATTTTATTTATTCCATCAAACCAGTAATTAGAACTTTTATTGTATTGTATTTTTCTATCACTTGTGTTGAATTCCAAGTTCCCTTTCCACTAACCTCAACTTCACAACCTCTAAGACAAGAGAGAAAAATAAAGTGTCAAGCTGTGTGAAGAAGTTGGTTAAAATTTAAAGGACTTCTTGCAATTAATAGCACTTATTGAAGAGGAAGAGAACTTTGGCTTTTAGCAAAATGGATATTTATTGCAAAGTTAAGGTTGCTTTCATGCCTATAGTTTGGTTTGAATAATAAGACTATGGTAGTTAAAGCTGCAGTAGGTAATTTGTAAAAAATAACTTTTTGTCATAT